AGTTAAATGAACCACCTAAATGTCACATTAGTGTAGTCTATATAATGTGTGAAGTTTAGTATACTCTCATCCCTTATAGTGATAGCACATGAAACACACATTCGGCATGTAACACTGTTCGAAAAGAAGGGAAACGATGCCTGTGTAGCTACAAAGAACATCAAAGAAGTTTATGGAAATGTTTTGAATGTTCATAAGTGTCAACGATGGTTCAACAAATTTCGTTCAGGTGACTTTAACCATAAAAACTGTGATGGCAGGGGTCGACATGTTGGAATTGATATTGATGCTTTGAAGATGCTTGTTGAGTGTAACCCAAGGCAACACATTCGTGAAATGGCCTTGAAATTGCATGTCTCTCATGAAATAATATGTAAACATCTAAGGAATATGGGAAAATTTCATAAAGAAAGTGTTTGAGTGTCTCACGAACTCTTCGATGATCATCGTTTCCAAATGTGAACGTTGCTTCATTTCTTCTACGGCATAATGCACGTGAACCATTTTTGGACAGAACTGTCACCGATGATGAAAAATGAATTTTCTATGCAAATATTAAATGCCAAAAACAATGGCTCAGTCCTAGACAAAAACCACTTCCGACCCCAAAACCTGGACTCCATCCACAGAAATTGATGCTTTGCATTTGGTGGGACATCAAAGGAGTAATTCATTTTCAACTCCTCAATCCACAGCGAAATGTCAATGCAGAGATCTATAGTCAGCAACTGGAATTTATAAATTAAGCCCTTCATCAGAAACACCCTTCACTTGCCAACTGGAAAGGTGTTCTTCTTCTCCACGACAATGCAAGTCCACATGTGGCACGCTTGATGCAACACAAGATTATGGAGTTGGGCTGAGAAGCTCTCCCTCATCCACCATATTCTCCAGATACGGCACCATCAGATTACCATCTTTTTTGGTTGCTGCAAAACAATCTTAATAGGAAAATGTATGCAAATGTGAAAGGTGTTAAAGAGGACATCAACATGTTATTTGCTTCAAAGCCAAGTGATTTCTTTAACCAGGGCATGAACAACCTGATTGTAAGATGGAAAAGCATTCTCGATAACGATGGAGACTATTTTATTTAACAAATGTTTTGTTTTGATATATAAGTTGTTCAGGTTTTTCATCTAAAAAAAAGTGACATTAATTTCTTGACAACCTAATATATTGATGCATGAAATTTTTATGGACATTTTTGTGTTTTCACGTTTTTTACCACTACTTTGTCCCCTGTTGATGGATATTTAATAAAACTAGCATGAAGGTTTGTTGGGTCCATAGGAAGTTACATACAAATTTTCAGTTTTGCATTTTGCAGCTTTTAGGGCCGTTTTTGCAATTTTCACAATTACATATAAGGGAAGTAACTTTTCATGTCCTAAGATAATCTTTCATTAATCGTGAATTTACATAAGTTCTGTCCAGGAGAGGGTACTCCTGCTATTTTGTAAATATAGTACTAAAGAAATGGAAATCTTAAAAAAAAGTTATTTTTTCAATAAAGGGTACCACTTTTAATACATAAACACATTAGTTTATATCAGCACATTCCAAATACTTTTCCCGTGCAGTACTTTCCATAAAAATCCATTTTTAGAAAATGTTCACTTTTTCTACATTTTTTTCAATGAGGTATGAATACTATGATCAGTAATTACTAGCAAAAACAGCCACCCATAGAGTGGTGTTTCTGCTAGTTATTACAATTTAGTGTCTAGTATTGCACATCAAAGGTCTGCTGGACTAATGTGCTATTTGTTACAAATAAAATAATTTCAATCTTTCCATTTGTATTTCATTTGAAAATTTACAGCACTCATTTAGCTAAATCCTTGGTTACTGGCTTACAGCTTGTCTTAAAGTCTTGCAAGAAAGACCACTACCTGGGGAAGCCATATGAACAACAATGTTAACTAAAATAAATATACAAGCTTCAAATATATTCACAGTAATAAATAAATCATAGCAAAATGTCTTTAAGTTTATTCAAAATTACCGATATTAATGACTTTTTGTCATCCTGTGAGAAATGTTTAATTTTTAAAATAATATTGTGGTATGTAATTCTGCAAGTTGCAGTAAGCGAATAAAACTGTGAATTCCCAATTTTTCAATCCAAAAATAACTTTAATATTTACTTTCATTCAATTCTAAATGGAAAGTTACAAATTATATATAAATATATAAACTATAAAATGAAATTCCTGTGGTTTAATTTAATTCAACAGACTAGCAAAATGACCAACACATTTTTTTCACTAAACTAATATAAGAAAAATTATGTTTTTACACAAAACTCCTCAAATATGAATTGGTTAAAACTTACCTATTGTAAAAAAATTGCACATAACTTCATTTGATTTTCAAAATATAACATGAAGCAGATTTGTGAACTTCTTTTCCTCATAAAAAATGTGAATTTCATGTAGAAAAGATTATGCAGAGGCCTAATGTATTCTTTGATTTGCTACTTCTGCCATAGCAGACTAGTTTTGCTGAATTCACAGCTTAACAATGCTGTTTGGAAGAGTGAAGCAAATAAGTACATTAGGCCTCATACAGTTGTGGAATGCAAGTAATTTCTTATCTGCTTATCTTTTTTTTTAAAAGCTAAAAACTACAAATGTAAAACAAACACTCAGTATCCAATTAAAAATCAGTTTAAAGAAAATTTCAAATGGTTAAAATGTACATGAAAACATTATAATTCTAATACTTTACACAGCATAGTAAGGTGAATAAAAATGAAATACACAGCCCATTAAGTCTAAAAAAATGTCACAAGTTCAGTTTAATTACCTTTCTTCATTTTAAATGTATCATTTAAATATGAATCTACAAATACTTAGCAAGTGTACAAACATATAGACATGAAAGATCCTCAATGACTCTAGTACTTAATTTTTTTCTCATCAGATTTTGCAACACAAAAATAATGAGTGTGAAAACATCTAAACCATGAATCACACCTTTTCCCATTATTTTTTCTGAAATCTTTTAGAAGTATGTTTTTCACTGTGAAAATATGTTTTTAATTCACCCTTTCCAGATGGGTCACAGATCAAAAGCCATA